GGGGTGCTAACAGAAACGGAAGACACAGAGGCATCTGGGATGGAGCAGCAGGTGTGCAGAGATCTGTGTAGGCAGAGGTCCTTGGAGGGGTACACGAGAAACTGCTAACAGAAGCGCTTCTGGGGAGGATGGGCAGACAGAGACAGCAGAGACCACCAGGCACTCCCGACACCTTCTCTGCTGTTCGATTTCTTACTGAGCATACGGAGTGCTCACTCCCAAAACTTTTAATACCCCACTAATCACTATATTTTCTGGGGTTTGTTTATTTGTTTTCTAAATAAAGCTATAGGGGCCAGCAGGTGGCATGGAGGTTAAGGCCGCTGGATCCCACATGGCTGACATGGTGCCGGTCCTGGTCCTGGCAGCTTGAAAACACACCAGGTGCATGTGTGTCCCCGACCTGGCAGTTTGAAACTCATGCCAGGCATATGCCCAAAATCCCAGAAGGAGAATGAAGAGGGGACTGTGGCATGGCCATCCCCTGTCGGGGATGACTTCTCACTTTCCCTCTCACTGTCTCTGGTGAGCCCACATGCCTTATGGCAAAAACTTAAAAAAAAAAAAAAAAAAAAAACAATTAAACATAATAATGCTAAGTCCAGATGCTGAGGACTTTGATAGTTATTTTTAAAAACTGATATGGGAAAACATTTATGATATAATAAGTGAAATAAGAAAGGCTATATTTATTATATGTTATGGGAAAAAGGTAGGTTACAAAATAATGTGTATAGAAGTCTAATCCTATTTCGTATGTAAAAAATCCATTTAGGAGCCAGCTGGTGGTTAAGGCACTGGACTCTCACAAGGCCGACCACGATTTGAGTGCTAGACTGAGAAGCCTTCCTTCTCACTTTTCTTCTCTCTCTCTCTCCCCCTCTGGTGAGCATACATGTCCTACAGAAAACTTTAAAAATAATAACAAATTAAATAAATACTTTTTTTTAAAAAATGCTATTTTATAATCTATTATGAAAAGCATATGTAGAAAAAAGTCTGAAAGACTACACATGCATCTCCCCAAATGGTGTGGTTATGAATGCTTTCTAAATTTTTTTAATAATTAGTTTTATAAGTACAAATCTATAGGTTTATGGTGTGCAATGTTCATATGAAATGTATACCCTGAGGACTGGCTTAGTCAAGCTATCTAACATACACAGTATCTTACACACTTTTTCCAAGGCAGTAGCACTTACAACCTACCCTCACTGCCGTTCTCACACACACGGTGTATGCAGCGGCTGTGGTCCTCGGAGCACAGACCTCACCCTTACCCCACCTCACTGAGCCTGGGCACCCCGACTCACATATCGAACCACAGCCCGAACATCGGCCTCCACAATCAGCACTTGATCCTGTTCTAATGCATTTGTCTATGACTTTTAAGTACTCCACTACAAGTACTTTTAATATTACTTTTATCACTAGTTTTTTCCAAAATATACACACATGTATTGCTTATATAAGATTTTAGGAGGCCTTCAGAAGAGGATTCCTCATGGCTCCTGCTAACCAGTCACTGCAGGGGACAGGAAAAATGAAGATTTTCTACCGATAATTCAGCCTCCAGCAAACAAAGTTTGTGTGGCAGGAGAGTTGAGGCCTTCAGAAGAGGATTCCTCATGGCTCCTGCTAACCAGTCACTGCAGGGGACAGGAAAAATGAAGATTTTCTACCGATAATTCAGCCTCCAGCAAACAAAGTTTGTGTGGCAGGAGAGTTGAGGCCTTCAGAAGAGGATTCCTCATGGCTCCTGCTAACCAGTCACTGCAGGGGACAGGAAAAATGAAGATTTTCTACCGATAATTCAGCCTCCAGCAAACAA